CCCCAAAACCCCAAAACCCCAAAACCCCAAAACCCCGTAAACAAACATTAAAAGTGAAAACTTATGAATAACATAATAAACACAAGAACTGAGAATGCAGATGTATTGGCCGAATAGTTCTTTCCGTATAGTCCAACTCTCTGGCCTTGAACGTCATGGTAGACATAGTACTCTCTCAGGAAGGAGTCTCCCAGGATCACAAGGCCGCCTATATAACTTGTTAGTGAAAGTTCAACAGGAAATTGGCTATTGACTTTGATAGTTCTTAAATCAGCTTAGCACATTCCAATAATTCACCTCATTGAATAAGGAGAATAAGAGACTGAGCCTGCCATCCATGACTCTTTATTTGCAAAGTATCCTTCAAATGTTATGTCAGGGCTACTTTTGGCTTAGTCCAGCCCCAACGAAATGGGAGGACTCTAAGACTTCATTGATAATCTATTTTCGGAATTCACTAGCTTCCAAACAATTAATAAACCAAGGTTTTTCAAACTCTCTACCTATCATAAGCGTGAAAATGTATAAAAAGCTACATTTTCCCGTTTCCTGGCTGAAATTAGGAATAATTTCAGAATGAAATTTTTCTCAGGAAAATCAAGTGAAAAGAAAACTAAGGTAATGCTTACCAAAATCTCCAATGTAGAAATCTATATAGAGTAAACAAACACCATTGGAAGTGGTTCCTGCGAAGTACTCGACGTAAGCAGAGGCAGGCATCTTGGTATCGTGTTCTCCAAGCTTAATTTTGATCTCTTTAAAGTCTTTAATTGAGTCGCAGTCTCAGCCAAGTCTACTTGTCCCAACAATATACCCTCAATTTTTGCCATCTTTAATTTCATTCCAAATGTTCATGAAATCTGAATATGGAAATATTGTCAAGGATGTTCCTGTATCAAGGACTGCGCTGGTAGATGACATGCTAAGCTCAGTACCTCCATACTTGACAGTACTCATTTCAACAGTCCAATGAGTATTAGTTTTTAAGCCAATCCAATCAAAATCTTCGTCACTTTTGATCAGATCAGTGTCGTAGCCTCCAAGAAGAATCGATGACGTGCCATTTAGCCATCTGTAGTCGACTCCGAAAGCATTCTTGCCGATAATTCCTGCAGTTTTGAGTTTCTCCACTAAGAGAGTGCCAGGTCTTCCTCCAGTAATGGCTGGGCCCATTCCAAGAATCCCATCAGCGACCATGCCTTGGATTGCAGAATCGGCTGTATCTACACCTAGGAGTTCCATAGTTACGGGGCCTGAAGAAGAGGTGATGTAGACTTTGTCATTGGCAACATCACCGACAACTTGTCCTGAGAGGTAATTTATAATGTGTCTTGTGCCTGTGCTGGAGTAAGAACTAGCTGGAGTATATTTATTGGTACTTGGGCACGAAGAACAATTGTTTAGAGGAGTCCACAGGAGCGTAGACCCTGTATCCCAAATGAAGGTCTGGTTGTATTTAGCATCTCCGATGAGAAGACTTGCATGATATTGGAGGTCATACTTGTTTGTCACTGTTACATTGATTTCAGCAAGACCTCTCCCATGTCTCTCTTCAATAGTCTCAATCCCTGACTCAATGTCTTCTTTGTGGTCTTTCAAGTAGACTTTCTTCAGAGGCAGTCTGACAGTCTGGGCCATAGCACAAGGGAAGACTCCAAGCTGCAAAACTGTAAGAAGGCACATGACAGCTGCAGCCAGGAACAGCCAGCTTCTTTGTGCAGCTATTTTAGTGCTTTTGTTATTTTTTGATTGAGAAATTAACATTTATACTGACTTCCTAACTTCCAACTTAAAAAACATCCCACGGGGTTTTGGGGTTTTGGGGTTTTGGGGTTTTGGGG